CGTGTTGTTTACACGAGCCCTATTGAGAGTAACCTACCTCGTCTTGGTCGACGCTTTCCCATAGTGTCCAGAAGTCGTGTCTGCTGACGCGCCGACAACAACCAATATCCTGTAAGTCCTGTCTCAGATCTTCAGCCAACATACCCTACTGGACACTTTAGTTTTGGATAATGGATCACAGTTCACCTGTAGTTGCTTCCGAGAGTTCTGTCGAAGAAGTACAATCACGAATGCTCGTTCTCCACGAAATCCTTCGCAATCAAAAGGTCGCAATCAAAAGATCGTTTAAGCGGGTGCTACTGAAGTTTCGAGTGGAGCAGATATCTATCCTAGTTCTCCAAGTGGTCTATTGGACCACTTCGAATGATCCTATGGAAGACTAGAAATAATCTGCTGAATCCCTCATGGACCGGGAGTTGCGGACCATCAAGTAGACGCTGACAACTTGCCCACGGTCCACGGTGACGTCAGGGGGGGTCCAATTCGATCCAGGCCTACGTCTCAGGAAACGCTGGGGCGTAATGCATGGCGTTTCTGTTGGCCAAGACATTTGGATGCGGAGCAAGAGTCAACTCCGTCCACACCATCCTTTGGGGCCACCAACATACCATAACAACCTCCAACTTGACATTTTTCTTCTTGATCTAGGGCCAAACACGCCCGACTGGATGCGACCCAAAGCAACGCGCCGGCGTGAGACCCAATCATTCTTCTAAAAAATGGACTGATTGCCACCAGCAGTTACCGGATTATTTTCATAATGACCCAAGAAAGTTCCGTTATTGAATTTTCCCCCAAGAGGAGGTTTTGAGATATCAGCGGCCTTATTTACTTGGTAAATTACTGCCAAGTTATTTTTCGAAAGTTTGGGTGTTTTTTGGTCCCATTTTTCGGTATCTTGGATATTTCCATAAGACCATGTTTCTCTTATTGGCTAGTTGCACCTTGTATATGCTAACGCGTTTATCGCTTTCCACGTTCATACAAAATTCGACGTTGTTTCCACTGTACGTTGTCTTTGGTTAAGGCAATAAAAGCTCTTCTCCGAAGGTGATCGCGCCGTGACTGGGCAGTTGCGCGCTCGTTCTCACTTCGCCTATAGCAGTTGATGGCGCCTGTTCATACAGTAAAGGTAAATAGGTAGGATTCGTTATGCCGGCACCCTCGGTTGTCGACAATATGAACGGTCAATATTATTGAATCCGAGGTGAACTGAAAGCCACATACTGGCCTTTGCGAAGGAGCAGTTGAGGTCACACGCATTGGTGATCCTTAGGAGGATCACCTGCCGCTACACACACGAGGATCGTCTAGGAGGTCGTTTGGAAGTGTGAGTTCAAGGGCCCCTGTGGAGGCCCTGGTTGACTCTTCTGATTGGTGTATTGGAGCACGAAATATCTTCCACTACATTTTTGTGTGTGCAAAAGTCGATATTCATTCAAATTTAGAAATATCTAGAACGCAAGGGTACAATTCAGGAGACAGCGGTTGTCAGATTTGTTGTGATCTGGGCGTTTATGCTTTGTTGCTCCGTCACAGACTATCAATTTTTCGGTCGCTTCCTGTCTACAGTAAGCCGGAAAAGGGACCCCTTTGAGGTAAACGGTCCTCTAGCGTGTAAAATGAATGGCCTTCCCAGCGTGATTTACAGCGCCACTACCCTACGATCACTGTGGAGTTCCTCTCCTGTAGCAACGGAGAGGTACGGATTTCACCTACAGCACTAGGAGAGATTGTTTCCACTCCCCACAAAACTTGTTGCCAAACTGTTCTGGGTATTCTCAGATTCTGTAGGACTTTGATGAAAGGAAACTTCAACCAAAAGGTGTAATACCGTTCAGTTCTATCATACCGTGTGAACGCCACCTTAATCTTAAACTGTCTGCACGGTGTCAGGGGTTATTCTCCGGACCGGCTGGCTAGGATTACAAAGCAGTACAGGCTGATGACCTACACCTCTAGTGAACAGAAACCTGCACTTCCCCACCAGATTCTGTGTATGGGCCTCTGCCACTTGTCCCGTATATCGGCGATCCAACCACAGCAGGTTTGAACTAGGTCCTGTCTGAAGGTTGTCTGGAATTGCCGAGCGAGGTGACCTTCTAAATAACCACGGTGTGTCTACGTATTCAGTCTTTTGAAGATCTACTACGGCAGATATCTCGAACATGAGCATCTAATCATTCAGCTGTAACACCCTTCCGGTGCCTAGCTGCCATGCCACCCGGAGGAAGCACGAGGGCTGGGATACTGCCAGGTCGCCCACGCCTAGACAGGGGAAGTCGGGTACGAACCACGGACCTTCCGGTCAGTAGGTTTGCGCTCTAACCATTTGGGCCATCTCGCCCCCGCCTGAGCATCTGGTACGACAGTAAACTTCTCACTCTATCTGTTTGGCTCATTCATCTATTCTTGTTTTTACTAGGTGATATCAGGTCAAGATATCAACTGAGGACGGCTGCACGTCCACCGCCATCGCGATCCATTCCAAATGAAGTTGTTGGACGAAATCCGGTCTGTTTGGGCTAGTTTTCGTTTGATTGCACAGCTACTTCGAGCGGGCGGTCCATATCAAGGTATTGATATAACATGGGTTGTGAAATTTTAACAAATCACAGGTCTTGCTCCGGCATGCCACACGGACACACAGCTTAATATGTTTCATCCGACAGAAGTTTGTCCTTCATTACTGAATGGTTGGTATCTGGCCACCCCGAAAAAACGGCGTTCTACTGAGGTCAGACGTGCACGGAGAATGATGTCATGCAAGTATCAATTAGTTCTCACATATGCATAGCTCTTTTCCAGTTATCATGGACAGATATCGTCCTCGCGAAGATTTAGTCCCATGCGCAGTCTGTGGAAATTTTAATCAGCGCGGATTCTTATGTGGTGGGTTCTGCCTTTTCATCTTGCTCATCCTTAACAGTCTAATTCTTAGGTTATATGCATGTTTACATTGTTTTAGCTTGCCTCACAAAACTCCAAACAGCTCGGTGATCAGGATAGTCCTCACCATCCATAGCATAACATCAATTTTCAACACTGATGCCTTGTTGCGGATCAGGGTGAGAGGTATTGGCCGTTAGTTTCATGGATGGAAGCCAACACTGGCATTTCTATCGTTCCTGTCTGGGTTCGGGCTACCCAAAAGTGTCACAATTCTTCACTTCTAGTGTCGAACGGTGGTTCTGCACCAAAAAGTGCTACGGACGAACGTGTGACAGGACGAAGTTAGGAGAGTTAAGTGACTTCTGTGCTACATTGAACTCTTCATAGTGTCAAGCGCCTGTTTCTGCATAGTAAGCATCTTTCTCCATCGAAGAGTACCCCTAGGGTTAGCTGAGATTGTGCTTCAAACTGCTAAGTTTGTGGTGACCACTAGATGTGTCTCCGAGGTGCAAGCTCTTTTAACAAAAACGAGGGATTCAAAACCCATGGAATGTTCTGGTGCCAACAAGCACTCGGCCACTTAAACCGCTGGCACGCTTGTTGACTAGAGAGTTCTAGGCTTTAGTAAATGAAAACAACCCATTTTATGGTGGGAAGCGAAAAATCGCTTGGCTTTTTTATGAAAGATATTGCCAGCGTGAACTGTCTTTTACAAGAGACTATTACGCAAAAGTCTGATGTAAAACTTTAAAGGGAGGGATGTTTTCCGAGCGCAGTAGCGGAATAAATTCATTCCGGAGTTGTTGCTGATTGTGATTCATGGGTAGGAGCTATTCGGGATATTCTTGGAGCTGATCCAACCTTCTTCGGAAAAAACTCACCGTAACGTAGAGTGAAGTAAACCGGAGCCATAGCGTTCGTGGAATTGTTTGGTCGTTTACAAGCTCTCTTATATGGAAAGGTAGGCCTTATATAACATTTATTTGTACGCAAGAATACACGAGGTGCGTGCTACAACAAACCAGTCCAGCCAACCTTTGTAGAAAGCCTGTGGTTGAAACAGAAATTGTTGATTCCAACAATGTTCTTCATTACAGTAGTGCTCCGTCAGCGAAAAACGATTGAACTTGAATTCTTCGTTCCTTTTCAGACGGTTTATCTTCCGGTATGAATGGTTTTCATGGAGGATAAACTCATACCCTATGAAAGGGCTTTCACCGAAAGCTTCGGTGCAATATTAAGTCACCGGGTTTAGCGTTTCGTTGCATTATTGTCTGTAGGTTCTCACTCGTACTGTCCATCAGCACGGTTCAACACTTAGACAATTTCTCATGATGATCCGTGCTTGAAAGCACAGTTCTTTTACTCTCCCAAACTGACCCGACTAAAAGCCAAATAAACTGGCCCGGTCTGTTTGGTTGTATTTTTCATCCTAAATTTTCTCCGGGCTAGTTATTGGCATTTGCCAGTCTTTTTTTGGACCAACCAAGCGAAACCTGTTATGTGACGACACTTCGGTCTACTCATCCCATACGTGGTGAAAACTAAGTTTTACACTTCTTCGCGCTTACACTGAGATTTCGCTGTTCAAACTGCGGTTTATCGGCTAGCTGTCGTTCCCCCCTTTCCGCTTAGCTGGCCATTGTTGGGATGGTTTCCGGGCTGCGGGTGATAACTTAGTGGCTGTTGTCCTGAAATCGTACTAAGGGAAAACACAGCTGATGATATCTCTTCTATCAACTCGATCGCCTTTGGGGACCCAGCGTGGCCTAGTAGCTACTGTCTTCAACTGGCCGTACGACGATGTCTCTTCTGCCACCAAGTGGATCGCGATCCTAATTTGTTCCTTCTTTTTACCAACTTTATTTGATTTTCAGTTAACTGCTACGAAAAAGCGCGGGAAGAGACGAACGCCCTAAGAGCTCTTGTCGGTGATAAACTGCCCAGTGATACGGAAATCCGATTTGTTTACAGAAATGATTCTGCAGAAGTGCAGCCTGAGAAGGCGAAGGCCATCCGTGTGGATCGTGAACGTCCAGCCTGGTTTCCTGGCAACTTGTTACAGCGATCTCGAGATCCAACACCTACTGAGTGACAAGGCCCATTTGGCGATGTTTCCCCCGTGAAGAATCGCCGTGTAGATATTTTCCCCAAAGGCTTTTAATAGAACTGCATTTTCTCGTGTACCTTATATTCTTTGCTTTCCACTCTGTAAGGGGTAATGGGGAAACATTGGAGAGAAGGCTTCTGCAAACAGAATACGTGGTAATGTCTTGCTGCGCATGCTACTGGCATTTTGTAAGTAGCGTGGTTTCAGTACTTTTAAACATTTAGGGCTTTTCTTGAGGAATTCTATAGGAAACTATACTATATATGCGCAGTCAAGTGTTTATACTTTATTGTTTTTAAATCTGTACAAGGGGTCACATTTTAAAGGTTGTTATAGGATTCTCTGCAACTTCCACGCTTATCCCAGTCAACTTCCGTAAAACCTGTATAAAACAGCTAATGGCTTTTTTTGGCATCCACTCATCTTTTCTTGGGTTTTTATTAGTTGTTGCAGAATATATGAGCTCGAGAAACAGTGGTACAGAGCGGTCAGGATGGAGGGAAAGACTCGTCATACAGACGTCTTCGCTGTTCTGGTGCCCAACATTTTTGGATTTTGCGGTATTGAGAAGGAAATATTTTGTTAACTCCTGAGATGCTTGGTCGTATGAATTGTATGCTCGTCATGCGTATGGGTAGGGAAGCATCATATGAACTGTAAAAAATGCGTCGTATATAAGTTTTCTTGCTTCTCACATTGGTATCCCGACGAAAATATCTGTTTACACCCTAGGTGAATATCTTCGGGCGAAGTGTTTTTATTAACTTCCATTTTGACATACTCTTGTTGCTAGAATAATGGTGTCAAAAGGTTTTCCTTCAGCCAATGACCGACCGTATAGATGTTAGAATTGGACACTCAGCGCATACTTCTTCAAGTCTCTCCTTTGAAGCGTCAACAAAACTTCGAAATATGAACAGCTCCATGTGAAGTACAAAATGCATTTTCTGGCCGTACCGTCAAAGGGTGAAAGCTGATTCCAAAGTCTGGTATTACATTCTGCGAGTTCTCGACGTTTGAGACCACAGTATACACACAAAAGGAAAATTGAGGAATTATTAGAGTTGGCTTGGTTTTTTATACTCCGTAAAGTCACCGCCTTGAACCTTGTCCATGGTTCTCGAAACTTGACAGAGTAACGCACAGACTCGAAATTCCACCTATAGACGCAACGGACGTGTACTCTTGCTAATAAGGTACGAAATTTGTTGTTTCCTCTAAATTGTTGTTGTTGAAACTTCGGCGAAATTTAGGCGTTATTGTATGCTTTATCTGGTGTCCTAATTAATGACACAACTTGTCTGCAGGGTCCCGATGCGTTGGCTGGGAGGGCTATGTGGTAAATGATGTCATGTCAGTTTCTTCGTACATGCATTTTCTCAGCATCTTTGATAGGAAATCTCGGATTGGTTCAGTCATCTGGTCACTCCAGGTTAGTTAGTATAGAAGAATGGATCATTAATTGGCTGGCGCTTAAAAAAGCGACTGGGACGTTGTAAACCCCGCATCCATAACTGAATGGAAGAGATATAAAAACAGATCTTATTAACGTACTTTCAGATATGAACTCAGGGCCCGAGATGCCCTAGCGGTTGAGGTGCAAAGCCGCCGACTGGATCCTGGGTTCGGACTTAATCCTGGCTTCTCTAATGCAACTCTAGGCTTCGGCAACATTGCAATATCCCAACAGTTGTGCCTCATTCGCAACGCACGATAGCTGTTTATCAAAAGGATGTCACTGCTCAACGATTTTTCATGATCCATTTATGTATACGGTTGAAGATCGTAAGCACGGTAAATTTATAGATCCCCTTATTCGGTCACCGAATTCAAGTGTACAAGGCGACATAGAGGGATAGACATCACGAGGTAAACCGGTGAACGCTGGAGCTCAAAACCACTCTTCCCACTGCTGGGGCATTTGACTTAATTGTGACGATTGGTTTGGCCGGTGGACCGCCCGATTTGTTCAGTGAAATTTTTATTTCATAGTAGTAACTGATACTTCCAAAAGACCTGGAAGTCATCAAGATATTCGCTTGGAATTCTGCAGCATACTTTTTGTAGGGCAGGGAATGATGGAACCCTTCTTCATTATAACTCAGGAAGGGCGTACATGGGTCGAACAAGTCAGTGGTCTCATACGTCCAACCAAAGGGCTATTAAGGGTGAAAGTAATCAACTGCCTCAGCTCTGCGGCATCGAACAATGCTCTTACTAGCAAAAGAAGACAGTCTTTTAATTTAGCTCTCTGTAAGTTCTGTGATTACATGGTTCTGTATGGGTTAACAAAAGTGCAACAAAAAGGCTGATGCTGAAGTTCTGATTAAAGTGAGTAAACCTAAGCTAAATCTGAAGAAAAGCTTCTAAAAGCGGTTTAGGATTAGACAGTATTAAATTCAGGCTCTAACCACTGAATCATCTCGCCATATATAAGAATTAGGATTCTAAATCTTCGCAGTTTAGGTCAGTTTTTATCAATGCCTTTTTATCTAAATTTGAACATCTACACTTTACTATAGCAACCATTCAGAAAAACAATTTTCAGATAGTATCTCCAGGAGATTTGCTTACTTATCTGAAAATTTCATCATGTAAAGTTGGAGCATGGTTTTGTTCCGTATTTTTCCACCTCTGTGGGAGTGAGAAAGCCCGCAACACCACTGCACATAGTCTGGTTTTGTCTGGACAGTTAGAGTCACACAAATATTAATGCACGTCGAAATTTAAACTTCAGAAAAAATCAGTTCATTAAGTCAATGAGCGAACTGTGAACGATGCGGGTAATTTACAGAGAGAATTTGTGAGCATCAGTTTATCCAGTAGGGTTACTTTTTGTGTTCTCGTTATTTATGTCATCTGATGTTCTGTATGGTGTCAGTGCATAGGTTTCTTAGAAGTCGAATTTCAGGGGTTCTCGAGATTCACGTTTTTTTCAAGTCAGTCCGATTAGGTTACACTGAAACCACCAAATTACCAATTCTGGATCCACGCTGCATAGCAGCTCTCATCAGTGTTAGTCCAGTTTCACCTCTACGGCAAAGAAGTCTCCCGTTTCTACACTCTGATCACGTACAATTGTTTTATCACGGAAGTTGATGGGCGGACTCACCCATCCGTAGCCTTTTGCTCGGGACCATAATGTGGCAACAGTTAACTATGAAGGTAGCTTGTTTTTCGGACAAATAATCGAACGACTAGTTATTCCTTGCATTCTGTCGTAACACAGGTCGAATTTTGCGTGGTACTTTCCAAACCTGAACAATTTTCTGGATTTCTCACAATAGATTCATTCAGGGATTTTAGTACATTTAAGGCTTCTGGAGTAAGACTTGTTAACATTGTGTCGCACTTAGCTATTGTTTTATTTCAGGGAGCGTTCATCTACGCCGCTGTTCCAAAAACAGGCGACACAGCCAACTCCAAAATCTGCTACTTTTTAGCTCTAACTAAAACTGATTAAGATGTTAAGAAAATACGTAAAGCGCAAGCAGTCAGCAACAGTGAGCCAACTCCAAAGCAAGGGCCGCTCTCTCTTATTTTAAAGGATGCCGTATCCAATGACAACGTACACAACCTTCAACCTAGTAGCACAGATAATTTTGACTGCTTCTGGAATGAGCTCGTTGATTTTCATTGCGAACTCTCGTCAACACTACAATATAGATGATGACCTCAGGAAGTGGCATATACCTGCTCCACGTGAACTCCAAGCTAATGACGTTATCATTTCAAAGCCGTTGGAGTCAAAGGTACGGTTGTTCTGGATAAGAAGGCTTATACAAACGAGGCCCACCACCCTAAAACATGACTGGAAATTCGTTGCGCTTGACAAATGTGTCATGCTTGTGGGGGAGTTGGGTCTACTTCCCGAGCGTATACTCACACCTGATATTTATGGATCAGTAAACTACTGTCAAACTCTATCCATGACAAACCGCGATACTTTGTGTTGCGGTGATGGTCGATGATGTAAAACCGGCCACCGAGACAAATGGCTCTCTTATCTTTGACTTCTTGGTGCTGGTTGAAGAACTGGAGCATGTGATGATTAGAAATGAGTGCTTGCTATGTTGGCGTGCAGTTGATTATTTATGTGGACCGATTACGCTGACTAATGTTACTTGAAACTTCACGTATGCTACATGGAGAAAACATGAATTTTAAACAGATTTGCGCCCGTTCATTTTGTGTATACAAATAGCCATGTAGATGTTCGACAAGCTAAACCGCTGGGACCAATAGTTTCCTCATTTCCGAGCAGAAGGAATATGGCACTTTCTGGCGAAGAAAACAGCGTTTGGAACACACGATACCGACCGGAGACTCTTGGCATCACCAACCGGTGAACAGTTAGGTTTAACACATCACCTTGTCGATTTTGCCTTAGCTTTTGCAATCCTACTTTTCCAGACACTGTCAAGTGTGTGAAAGCCTTCTGAGGCGATCAACACTGATGGGCTAAAATATAGTTTGTGAGTTCAGAAACAGCCACTTGTGGCTGGTAAACCGTCATTGAATTAGCTGAGGAAAATACGCTGCGTCGTTCTGAGCCTCAGTTTGGAGTTTATTGTCTACAGTGGTGATCTTCTAAACACGATTCTCACTTAACTAGATATCTGGAACATAGGAGTCAATATAAAATGCTTGTATCAACCAGTGATCGTTTTCTATCACTGTAATATTTCCCTCTCCATCTTTGTCACCCGTAAAGTATAAAGTCCGTCATTAGTTGGTTGAAGACAACTGGGGTGACTAGTATAACTGGTCGGTATTATTCTATGACTTACTTAGAACAGAAATCCAGAAATTGCTCCCCACAGTGTGTCATCTGAAAGGTAGATCTGTAAGTGGAGTATAAGTACGACGGACTGAATTGAGCATTACTGGTACTTAGTAGGGTCATTAGGTCTCTTCTAAAAGACCTACTCCCGAAGACGTAATTCTGTCATAAACATATCACTTGTGCCTTAGGGTATTCACCGCTGAGACTATCCACCAAAAAGTTTCTATTTTCATTTTGTGTCACTATACATAGTTTGGTCAGCTGTGAGACTATTCCCAATTTTCATGAATGCTGTTTAAATCACGAGGATTTATAGGCCCCTGTAATCCGGGTCGGACAGTTTTGTTCGCCAATCATATCTGGTGAATGATACTAATCTAACTCCATTCCCTTCTTTTTTGTTTCTTTCTTTCCGATGATTGATTGTTGGAATAACCAAAAAGCAATCAAGATGCAGTTAGCTAAACAAAAGAGAAGGATACTTTACTCAGCCAACCCGCAGAATGACACACGACTTTGTCAACGGGTGTGAACGTAATTGACAAAGCCAGAAAGTATGCGTATATACGGGTCATACATAGTAAGAATGGTAGACACGTCAGAACGATATTCATACTCCGTGAATGAAATTCGGAAACATCAAGCAGCTTCAATTGTCCCACAGATTGTCGTCTTTCTTCGGAAACCAATGTGGTAACATCGCACTGCATGCCTGCTAGCCTCAAAAAATACTCAACATAGATTGCGTATGGGTCGCTTAAAGCGCAAGAATCGTAGATTATTCTCTAAACATGTCGCAAATGTGAAATGCCAAGTTAAAGCCTAAACTCGCATGGAGAACTAAAGTCCTCGTCTCATGTCCAGCTGCTTATATCGAACAGTACCATTTGGTTGTATTATTTAGCCGGCAGATCGACTGAGATATTGTCACACAGTCGGCTCATTTACTTTCATTGTCCTTTCAGCATTGTTTTCCCCGTGGTTGTCAATAGCAGCCGGTATGAATAAATCGCTATCGTACGAACCTCGCCCGCACATTGGAGATCTGAGGCTTGAGACCACCCGCAGTAGGCTACTTTATTTACAAATTTTGATGAATCGATGCATAGTTGAATCAGTTTGTACATAATTCACGTTCTGGTTGCACCCTCAAACTCAACACGAATGTGCATTATTGAAGTGGCTGAATTCACTAGTAAGCTTCTTTAACGTATCCAGTAAAGACGAAAGTTCGTTAACTTAAATTCACGCGCAATCGATCGTAAATCCACATGTGTTATTGCATACCATGAACTCTGGAAACGATCATTTCGCTGAAACAGCTTTCAGATTCAGAACCAATGATAGATCCGTTCGAACTAGCAGTTGCTATACAACTGACACGTAGCGAGGAACATTTTTCTTCAACAGCATCTCTTTTATTGGATTTCGTTGCATGTTTAGTAAATTAAGAGTGGGAGAGAGTTGTTGCGTGAGGTCACCGTTGTGATATTTTGGTATCCACCAAGCGTAGAGCAACTTGCTTACCAGCGGTTCAAACCAAATGACTTGCTGCCAGTTGTTTCAGTTCATTATATTATCGAAGCACAGAGGTGGGAGGCAATGCTTCCTTTGAGATCTCAGCGGGCCAATACATCACAGAAAATATTTATTCGCCACGACCGAGGTTGTAACCATCAAGGTCCGTTAGCCCGAATTGTGTTTACAAAAGGCCATATTCAACTGCATTGACTTGGTGGCCCATATGATTGTACCCTCCGAACAGTTTGACAATAGCCACTCTCCGGACATTTCCAAGCTCCCATTTACTCGTCCACATGGCAGTCTAAACGGATGGATTAAGTTTAGACTGTCAGTTTTTCAGCAGAGTTTCGTTTTACCACGTTCAATTTGGTCACATTTCTTATGGCTGTATTGGCCGTCTGGTACCTCACTTAGACTACTGCATGCCACCTTTGTGTGTGATCCTGGTGCCTGCTTAAGTAATACGAGTTTTAGAACTGCTGTGATTGTGTCCACGAGGTTTCCTTTGAGGCTATCTCTAGGTGCCGCAGCTATTTCGACAGGCCATTGGGTAGCATGCTTGAAAGCGTGAGATTGGCTTTGGGTTCCCAGAGTCGAACTTCAACTCCATCTGTTTTTATCAACAGTACAAGAATTATTCAGATAATATATATGTGGCTATGCAATAATTATTCAGCACTGTAGTTAGTAATTTGCTCAAAAGAGTGCAAGCCATGCTTTTCCCGCAGCAACCATTGTTTACGAGGAGCTGGTGTTCCTTCCGCCATGCGGAATATCGTGTGAAGTTACAAACGTAATTCAGTATATTGTAGGGGTGACAACCCTGAGAAGACCAAACCCTATGTTAGGATACCCCATGAAATTTATGGGCTGAAGCGGAGCATTCCAACGGACCATAGTTTGAACGATCAGTACTGATCGGTGACCTGTGGTTTGCGCGGAGCAAAGGGGACGAAGTGTACTCAAAAAAATTTACAAACAGAGAAAGCGCATTTCTCAATACGTCTAAAACGCCCAGGCCGGCCAGAAACTCAATGCTTCTGAAGACGTTAGGTCTTGTGAAGGAGCATTTCTCGACCTACTCAATACGCGTTTGAATACACCCGTTCAGCTGCCCCACTATGGTGTAAAAATTTACCTTCAACTGCAGCACCCTTTCGCCGCCCTAATGTCATGCCATCAGAATGAAGCACGAGGGCTGGGACATTGCCAGGAAGCCCAAGCATATACAGGGGAAGTCGAGAGGTACAGGTCGGAATCGAACCATGGTCCTTTCGATCAGTAAATTCGCGCACAAACCACCGAGCCATCTCGCCCCATTAACTATACACAGAAAGATAAGCTTGAAAGTGTTAACTTAGTCGGAGGACGTAAGAAGTGTTTGAAATGATGGATTTTCACCGGAGTCTGATCTACGCAATATTAGAAGATGAAAGTATTCCCTAATGGTTCATGGACCCTTAAATAATGTTACCTCAGACGAAATGGAAGCCAGCAGAAAACACCCAGGCGGGTACGGCAAAATTCACACCATAAAAATACGGGAAATGGAAACAAACGTTGAATTTCCAGTCCCTGGAGTTCACGGAGGCCTTTGACTCAGTTAGCTACGGATAATACTTCGAAACTTGCATTGTTCGGAAAAACTAAAAACTACCAAACCCACTCATTCAATTGCATACTCGGGGAGTGACCTCTTCCGAGTTTGAAATTATCATGTGAGCAAGCCGAAGTTAGGTCTCAGCTCCCAAATTGAACAAGGTTTATCGGATTACGATTTTTGCGGGGGTTTCTTACGATTCAAGATATGGTGTAGCTGCCCCGTAACTTTTGGATGATTCAATACTGAAATAGCGCCTTGAGCCGAAGGTCCGCATAACATTTCTTACGAATGACCAAGCTTTATTAACATATGTGCAGGCGGAATGAGAGCAAACAGTAGCAGCGTTACTCTTCGGATAGGTTACGGTTTGGTCTGAACATAATTGTCTTCTCCGAATTTAAATTAATAGTCGTGGTATAACCTGCTTTGAAGATGTTGACTTACTCGGTGGCTCGTTGTCCACGGATTTAAAAAAGCGAATTTCTGCAACAAGGCTCTATCTGTCTGGTAATACAGGTTCAGTCAGTGAGATTATATTTTGCATTACAAAAAGAACAACCATTGAATGTTACATCGGGGAAGGTTCTCTTAGTGACATCATAGCAATTAAAAAGGGTGCAACCGGCATGAAGGAGAAATGATTTCCAATAAGGGTGAAGCAGCTGTGCAGTGCTTCCCAGCTTTTCGGTATAGGGTGGCTTTACTAACATGACGAAATCTCCAATGAAAATTATCGTATCTCCTAACATAATCATCAATTTATAGGCTAATGTTTGCTTAATTTGGGGCGAATTGGAGGCATAACCCAATTTTTCAGCAATTTTTTTCAGTTTGGCTACTCCAGCACCAAAGGAAACATTCCATGATGGAAATGTATACTTAAAGGCTCAACAGCGGTTTTCACTTAAATTCACATTTCCTTTACCTTCGGAAACGACCTCTTCCATGCTGTAGTCAAATAGTTAAATATGTCAGCGACTGTCGAATATGTATGGAGTTTGTTTAACACACTGGTGCGCATTTACGAGGGTCTTTTGGGGAAGGGTCACAAAGCATCTTTGCTAGCTTGAGCGTTTCATTGTTACATCCTGACAAATTACGGTGTGCATTTTATCGCTTCTTGGAGTGATCAGCAGTGAAATGATCCCTACGACTGATGTGTATTTGAGGATATTGTTTTGTATCCTCCCAATTTATGCCGTGTGCTTTTATTTAATTAACCTAGAAGAATGAGTAAATTTATTAAGGTTATGAAAAAAACGGTTCAGCCTGAAAACTGTTTTGCAAATTGTACGATCCCAAGCCTGTCGGTTGTTAATGGAGGACTAACACTTTCTTGGCTCTCGATGGTTATGCTGACGTTGATACATGCTTCGCCTCTAAAGTAGTCAGATTTTTCACGTTATTTTTCTCAAATGCTTCAAGACCTACATATCCTTGCGGTCTGATTTTGCGATACCACTAAACTAAGTAAAAAAAAGTATGCTACTCCTAAATGAAATGCCTCAGTTATCTGCTAAACATTGATTAACGGAGAAGGATGTGCTGAGAATAGGAGATAATTCAGTAAGACTTCATCACAGGCAGAATGCCTTGGAGGTCTGTTAGTTTATTTTCATTCTCAAGCTATCAAGGAACGGTATTCCTCGTAATTCCAGCGCTGTAAACTCTTTCGTGTGGTAGTGTCTGGCACAGTGGGCATGCATTTGGTTACGTTATATTTCATCAGACCAATAAGATTGGTCTGATTGAGTATCCATAAATATTCTATCATCTTTATCTAGATGATTGTATTGATGCCGAAATGCTATTTTTATCTCTCTAGCGGACATCAACCATTTTGATAAACAAAAGTCACGCCCCAGAAATATTTATTATTAGACCAAAACACTTCTGGCTTGTTTGAACAGTGGGATTTCAAAAAGGGTGTGCAGCAATAAATCGGACGGACTGTGAGTAGTCTCGGAATGCTGACTAGGTGTAAAGTGTGTACACCTATAGATATCAGCAGATTAAAATTGTTTTTCAGGGTGCGCGTTAGTAGGCGTGTCTTTTATGTACTCACGGAATCCAGCGTCACTCCCTACAGGGAGTTGATGTAGCAGAAGTTTACCCTCCAAATGCTACTTATAACGCATAAGTTTGAATATGTTATCGCTTTTTTGATGGGAACATCTGTTTGTCGAACGAGAAGCGAAGCTCGATTGAATAGGTCAAGCGTTGTACCCGAAAGTCAAAACATATTTGGCAACAAATGAAGCTCGATGTCAATGAAACTGTTATTCTTTGGCAACTATGTCCACGTATCACAGTCGGCACAATAGCAAACGCAGGTACATCCTAGTCAAACTTCACACACGACCAAGCGTATACGCACACAGAACTAACACGCACCCACACATGCCGGTTGCATTCAATTGCCAACTGATCTCGGGAACACACCAACCAGAGCACAACGTAGCGACCCAAGTGATGCGGTATGGGACTTTTCTTCAATTGATTGTAGAAACCGCTGAAGAAAGTTGCCCGCATCAACCACGACTTCGGATAGTAACACCTTATTCCATTATGCTGCTTAAACTTCACACGTTTCGAGTATACATGCCCAATCCTTTCATTAGCATCCTTGCCGCGTTTGGCCAGGAACTCCTAAAGCAGTTGACTGTTATTTGTTCTGCCGAGTGGACATGGTCAGATATGTTTCAATGAGAGAATATTAGGTTTATTCCTAAGGAAACACGTTTATACCAGCTGTTCATTTATTCCGACCAAATGGTTACTGCCGACTATTCAAAAAGAGTTTATCCGAATACTCCTCAGTCTTCGAGTAGGGCTTGATAACCATAAAGCCATGGGACAACGTGTAGATGCTGTCTAACTAAGGTTCAACAGCGCGGAGCATTTCATACCTACTGTTAAACTTCTGACCGGCTTAGAAAAGTCGGACACTCGATCCTTTATTTTGTGGGGCTGGTCCCCTGTTTTACGCATCGGGTTGTCTTGCCAAACTTTGTCTCATCTGTATACGTCGACTGTTGTTCCCAGTGTTGTATTTAAATATTTGGCACATTTCGGAAGTTTACTGTGCACACCATTCTGCTGACAGCCGGGTGGAATTAAATTTGTATTACTTTGAACCAGTGTCACATAAATTATCTCTGTACACCTTCTGGTGCGCGTTAATGAGAACGGAATACACCACGTGGCCAAACATCCCGAATCCGCCACTTTGGTTGAGTTTCAAGTCCATGGAGTGGTGATCATTAGGCCGTACCTGAAGAGCAACGACTATTCGAATAGAACCTTATTATCTTGAAGTAGACACAGTAAACGAGCTGAAGGCAGACTGAAGCCAGGTCTTGTTCACAAGTGATATCTCGCACTTTTGATACTCTTGGAGGGTTGAACTTGACAACCCGACATAATTAACCAAATCGTCAAACGCCTGGTCCTTCTAAACCGACTCGGTAAGTAGCCAGTATGAATTAAAATTCCCTTGTAACTGACTACACTGTGTCACATCCGTCGTACTCTAGTGGTCTAGTAATTAACGATAAGTTTGTACCTCCGTTTTTTTTAAATAAACGTTGATTATGGGTTATATGTATATACGCACAAAATAAGATGGAAAAAATAATGTTCATGCCGTTTTGTAGGGCGTAGAATAGCCGACCTGTTCACAGTCATTGACAGCCGGGCAACTGGTTCAGTGCACTGCAGCACTAGGAAAGCTATCTGAATTTAAATGAGGAGGCTAGTCGGCTTATGATGCCAATTAAAATTTAAAAAATCTGAACATGCTACTAGCTATGGGCAGAATATTATGCGCCATGGAGATATATTTCTGCAAGCAGCCAGTTGTTTGCTTCCTGGATGATTTCGCTATTCCTCTAGTTCCAAACTTTTTCCGCTGGAAACAGAAGATCAGGTGGTCACGCGGCCCTCCGTATATTTTTTAGCTCATGTATTTGAGTGAAATACGAGACACCGTGTTGCTGATCTATTTGACAGCCGAGTGCTTTGTTTTTACTTCAATGTTGCCTAGGCCCATTTTATTTATGATAAGTAACCATGTGGCAAGGCCTTTCAGAGCCGTCAAAGACAAAATACTTGCTTGGTTTTCCGATTTGCCTTTGGTCTTTTGTGCATTCGATAGTCATTTCCAGTGGTTTCGCTTGAGTGGCTCTAAGTCTGAAGAGAGCAGTCCGTGAGCCCGCCAGGAATCAAGCAATTATGGTTACTGTTTTCCACAGATGTGAGCAATAGCGGTTGTTTGGATAAATTTGACAAAATTCTACAAAGGCTGAGTTAATTACTAGCAGAAATAGAGCTCGCAGCTGAAGGTTCACCGTACCTGCAAATCTGACCATCTGCTAAGGGTTTCTACAGAGGGACGTTCCTTATAAAAATAAAAAACGGAGATGTATATTATTAAATCTAATCAGGGATTTGCGGGGCATGTTGGCAGTACAGGAGGATTTTGAAATTTCGAATTTTCCCTGTCATTAAAACTATTCTAACCAAAACTCCCCGAGAATTCGCCAGCCACAATTCTGTCTTGTAGGCAAGGACAAAACACCGGTACAGTGGTTCATGGCTTTTCCGCGCAAACTGCCTTCAATTACAGGACGATATCTTTGTGCGATTGTTCGCTTTCACAGATCCAAGTCACTCATCGGTCG